TTAGAGCTGTCAATTAAAACCTTTCAGTTGATTAATCACTTCTCTTTCAACTGAGTGATTAAGTGTAAATAAATTTGCACATTAAAAATCCTACTCAAGATCTCGAATGATGGGGCGGCACGAGTTTCTCTCAACACATTAATAAACAACCCACTACATTTAGAAACAGATCCTATCCTTTTTGTGAATCATCTCAGCCTCCAGGATCCAAGCTGTTTCCCTCTTACAGGATCACACCAACATTGTTCCAAGACTGGAAAAAAAGATTAAATTGCATAAGTATTCTGGGGGGGAAAGTCAAAAGGCTGTGTGACACTTAATCTAAGGGTGTACCACCAATTTTATTTTCATGATTCATAGGAGAGAACCTTTTTTGCAGTGGCCAAAAATGCTATACTTTTGCGGCATTGACTTCTACAAATTTCATTAATGTTCTCTCTAGGTATCTCTAGTCATCCAGCATGACTCCATGGTCAATGTCCACCAGAAATTGCACTGGAGGACCGAGAGTTTCCTAGAGAGAACTATCCTCTAGGTATTTGTAGGTCCTCCAGTGCAATTCTAGTATAGTCAATGTCTGGCAGATGTTGGCCATAGAGTTTCACTGGAGGACCTAGAGATTCCTAGAGAGGTGTTCTCTCAGGTTTCAAAAAAAATTGTGTTTTTTATATTTGCAGGTTTTCCACTTTCGTGGGGGTCCTGTGCCCCTAACCCCAGCAAATGTGGAGGGCCGCTGCACTTGAGGACTCATTCAGTGTAAAACTTATCCATGAGGTTTTTTTGCTCAGAAAATATTTTCTGCACACAAAATGCTCTTTTCTGCCCAGACAAAAAGCCACACATGAATTTTGCACAGATATGACCTGGACTGTGAACTTTCTTATCAGTCCAGGATTCACCTCAACAAGGCTTCACTACCCTTGAGAAACACTTTATTTCAACCATATTCCAAATATTTTTAAATATCCTTTCCGTCCCTAGAAGGAAATCAAATTGAACTGAAGTTGTTCCCAAACATGGGACCTTCACACAGGGGAAATCCTGCACAGAAATGGGGTTTTAAATAGGAAAAAAACCACAAAAGCAGGTAGATTTTCAGATGACGTTGCTTTTAAACTCTGCTTAACCCAAATGGAAAATAGTCAAAGCCACTTCTTTTTAATTTCGGAAATCCCAAAAGTAAAAAGAAGCATCATTTGACTATTTTCCATTCGGTTTAAGCACAGTTTAAAAGTGACATGTGTGAAAATCTACCCACTTTTGCACGTTTTCACCACCTTTTAAATCCCGTTTCTGTGCAGGATTTCCTTCGTGTAATAAGGTCCATACATCTAACCAAGTCCTACTGTTCTTCCCATATTATATCTGTGTCTTTTTCCCCCCACCCCACTAGATTGGAACTGATTCTTAGTCTTAGGCTTTTGTTCCCCCACCAAGACTATCATTATATGTTTGCTCCAGTTTGGCACAGAACTGGGATGCCAGCCAGGTGGGTTAACAGAGGTGGGCAAACGCCGGAACAACTCATTTACCGCCTTGTGCTGAGTGTCATAAATTTATTAACAAGGAGGCCGAGCTGACACCTCAGTGACAGGAGATAATTCCTTGTACCCAAAAGCCTTAACAGCCCTTGACACAAAATATTAAGCTAAATTACATTATTTTAAAGGAGCAGATGGGGAATGCTAAACGTTTATCCAGGGATGTAAAGAAGCAATCTCATCACAAGCCATTATGGCTGCTAAGGAACATCTAATGCCATCCATTAGAAAGAGACTCTGACGCAGACGGTTCTAGGTCAGGAGCAGCCAATGCTTCGAAAAATTCATTTTTGGAATATAACCCAGATTCCCCTAGACAGCATGGTCAATGACTTCTAGGAGGGAGAGATTCTGATGCAGACATCTTAGCTCAGAAACAGCCTATGCTTGGCAAGGTTCCTTGTTGGGCTACAACTCCCAGAATCCACAGAAAGTATGGCCAATGGCTTTCATTAGGGTGAGACCCTGAAGCAGACTTTCAAGGTTAGAAGTGGCAAATTCTGGGAATTGTAATTCATAAAAAGGAACTTTTTCAAGCTTTGGGAGTGGAACCAATGCCAACACATTGGTTAGAGGAAACTATTAAGGACATTTGATGGAGGTTTCTTTGGATTCCTCAGAATACCTCTAGTCTGAGGAAGGCAGAACAGAGTGGTACTATGAGCTTGTCTTGAACTAGATATTATAATTGTTGATGGATCTAGAATTGCATTAGTATTTTTTTTCTTCCTGCATTGCACAATTGACTCAATATGCAAAAAGATCTTGTAGCACTTTTGAAATTAACTAAACAAAAGAAATTGTAACATGAGCTTTTGTAGACTTGTTCTGCTTCAAATACATGGAATGAACTGGTGCCCTCCATGCATCTGAGGAAGTAGACCAGGTGTACAAAAGCTTATGCTACAACTTATTTTGCTCATTTAGTCTCAAAGGTGCTACAAGATCCCTTTGCATACTAGTATTCCAGACAAACATGGTCTCTGAATTCTACCCACATTGACTCAAGTTAAGCTTGTGCAATTCTAAGATCTGTTGTTGTTGTTGTTGTATGTCTTCATTTCTGACTTATGCAGAGCCTAAGGCCAACCTCTCATGATGTGTTCTGAGGATGAGAGAGTGTGATTTGCCCATGGTCACCCAGTAGGTTTCCATTGCCAAGCAAGGATTTGAGTCCTGGACTACAGGATGCTCAAACCACACCACACTGGCTCATTATCTAAGATGACTAGATTCTTTTCAAGAGCTTATCGCTTGGCATTTTAAACTGAATCAAGCCTCCTGGGCTGCAGCTGGGAGGCAGGCTGGAGGTGGGGATTATTGCATGATAAATCACCGCTGAATTGCTGGCCACCATCAGCCGGGTCCCAGCCAGGCTCAGCTGGCGCTTTTTGGAAATCAAAATGCTGATGGCGACCAGCAATTTGGCAGCGATTTAGCATTGGATAATCCCTGCCTCCATCCTGCCTCCCAGCTGCAGCCCAGGAGGCTTGATTTGGTTTAAAATGCCAAACAATAAGCCTGCAAGTGTCCTTTCTTTATAGGGAAATTCCATATTTTTTCCATCCTTAGTAGGGCAAAAGCATCTTGGGAGAGTTAGTTATCAGCCTGTTCTTTGTGCTACAGGTTTCTTCCCATGTGTTGGATCAAAATCAGGGTGACAACTTCTCTCCCAGTTTCCATTTTACCCATAATGGGCAGAAGATGATAATAAGCAGGTCAAGGTAAGCCCACAATTAGGATACAATGACTCACATCTCAATGTGGTCGGGGGATTCTGGGCACTGTAATCCCCAAAGGTAATTTTTCAAGCTCTGACAAATTCAGCTAAACCTCTCCTTCTTCAACCAAACATAGGACCTGCAGGAAGGGAGAATGAAACCATGGCTGAGTTCCTACATCAGCATTGCATACCATAAATCCTGGCATGCAGAGTTGCACATGAAGGCTGGAATCCTGTTAGCTACTCCCAAGGACAGTAGATCCATTGAACTGATCAGTGAATGGCAAGTCACCAGAGAGGTCAGTCCAACTGATTCAATGGGTCTGCTCCAGGTTAGACTAACAAACACTGAATGGTGTTGCTGTGGCTATGGCATGATGGAGTTGTGTCTGGCTGTTCTTCTCTCTCTCAGAGGCCAGAGCAATGGCAACTGAGATATGTATGGAGGGTCTCTCAGCAGCCATTGGGACCAAGACACCCAGAGCTGTGCCTGGCTGCTCTTCCCTCCCTCAGAGGCCAATGCAATGACATTTGGAATATGAAGCAGAGTCTCTCAGCAGATGCTGAGGCCAAGAAATGATGGAGCAGTGCCTGGCTGCCCTTCTCTCCAAAGACATCGAATGTAGAACCCAATAGGCAACCAAATGTACATGTGCATCTATGCAGATTCATGTAATGTGGCACCCTATGTGCAACTCCAATTCTATAGCCTTGAACTGAGTGTGGGCATTTGTCTGCAGGAGCTGTCCAAGCCATGGTATTCCCCATCACCATGTACAGATGGGAGAGCTGAAGAAAGCAGATAGAAGGAATGTCTGATGATTTGAGATAAGGTGCTGTAGAGGAGTGTTGAGGATACCATGGATGCCAAAAAAAAGACAAACAAATGAACAGATCTAGCCTGAACTCTCCCTAGAAGCCAAGATGACTATGGGCCTTTGCAGACTGCCAGAAATAGTGCAAGTTGA